TTGCGGATGCTCTGGCCTACTACCTTGCCCGACCACAGGGTCCAAAAGGTATGCCCCTTCCAGGCTGCGGTGCCACGCTTCAGGACATGAACGAAGCCTCAAAGGAGGACCTCCTATCCTCAGCCTTTGTAGATGACACAAGCCTGATCGGGGAGGGATCACCGGAGAACCTCTCAAACATCAAAAGGGACCTGGATTTTTTCAATGAGGCCATGGGATCGAAAATAAACTGGCACAAATCGGTAGGACTATGGCTCCCCCCCGGCAGACCTCCAACATGGGGCACGGCGCTGGGTTTCAAATGGCTGGACACGGAGGAGACCACCCGCTACCTTGGATTTCAAGTGGGACGCCAATATGATCCAGAACCCCAGAACCAAAAAGCTGTAACAAAACTAAGGGATCAACTCAAGTTCTGGGCGAGCAGAAAACTATCGTTCTCAGCACGCTGCGTGGTGGCTAACAGCATCCTGCTTGGAGCGATCTGGTTCCTGGCAGCATGCTGGAACATGGACAGGCGAACGATCCAGGAAATGAACCAACTCATTCGTACCTATGTCTGGAAAGGCTCCTCCTGCGTGTCGCGTGGTGGAGCAAAGGTCAACTGGCGGTCAGTAACACTTCCGAAGCACGAAGGGGGCCTCAATATCATTGACATCGAAGAACAATGCAAGGCTCTTCTCTTCAAGATTTTCACAAGGATGCTCATGCCTAGCCACCAACCATGTAGAATACTGCTGCGAGCACAATTTTTGAAAGTCCTCCCGGACAGGAACGAGCACACCAGACAAAACTGGGCGTCAGACGAACAATGGCTCTTCTCAGACACCAAACTCAAAATGACAAAGGCTCACACATTCTCAGGGAAGCTGTTCAAGCTCTGGAGGCAATTTAAGTGCAAGTTGGAATGTAAACCACCTCGTACCAAAGAACAACTGGACCGGCAGCCAATTTTCCTGAGCAAACTCTTCGCTGTCCAGGGTAAAACGCTCGGAGCTTCAGAGGATCGTGGCCTGGACCAGACATGCAGAGACCTGCACAAAGCAGGGATGAGAACCTTTGCAGAGGCAGACACCATGATCCAGCCCAACCAGACGGCCCACAACCGCGACCGAATCAGAGCTTTCTATGGATTAACCATCTCGGAACACAGGATGCATAAATTCCAGACAGCCTTTTTAGCAGCCAAACACGCATGCCTTGAACGACTAAACCTGCAAGAAGATCAGCACCATCGTTGGTGGAAGGTGGATGAATCGATCGTATGCACCCTCCCCAACATGGCATCGGGACTAGTTTTTGAGGCAGGATAGGCTGGACGCTTGTACCCCATCGTTACCCCCGAGTACGAGGACCTCCCCAACATGAGCAGAGCTAAACCGATTAGAGTGATTCAAATGGAGAAAAAAACTGCCAACGTTGATCCATCGATACCAGAAAACCAATATGCTCGCCTCTACTGGTTCCGCCAACAAACCTTGGACGAACTCAAGTGGGATCCTGCAGAGTGGCATTGGAGGGGAACCACGTGCAAGGACTTCTTCCAGTATGAGACCAAGCTAGGCCGCAAACTGATCAGGGTGCCGACTCGATCCTCCCTCATCCAGAAAGCAAAGGCCCAACAGATCAGTTCCAGGAACCACTCACACTGCATCAACAAGATCTGGAAGGGGCGCTGGTCAGCTAAGAACCGATACTTCATGTGGCTGGCCCAACAAGAACGTCTTCCCTCTCTGGTCGCCATACATCTTCCGAACACAGCCTGCAAGACATGTGGCGCCACAGAAACACAGCGACACATCTTATGGGAATGTCCGGCAGCACAGGAAGTATGGGAAGGTGCAGCAGCGGTACTCAAACGAACGTCAACCGGAGGAGCTGCAATCACATACGAATCAGCGCTCTGGGGTAGCTTCATCCAGGGAAAAACAAAGAATCCTGATGCATGGAAGTGGAGACACAACGAGGCCCCACACTTTGATCAACTCAACCAAACTCGGACACACATTACGCATGTCCACCAGGAGCTCTTCGATGCGCTTCGGGGATGCACACTAGCAGAGATATGGAAGGCTCGCTGCGCCAGGCTGTTCGAGGACACGGACCCTTCGGCTCGAGCAACTATCTCAAAGGTTTGGTCCAGACTGATTGTCTCACTCGCGGCCCGCCTGGACACGCTGATCAAACGAGGCGAGGAAGGGAGGATAGCGAAGGAGAAGAAGCTGTGGCCGTTTTTTAGAGGAAGAAGTAAGGCTGGAGAAGAAGAATGGACATGGAAGCCACCAATATGGATTTGGCAGCACATGTTCAGGAACGAAGGCACGTGTACCTCCCCGAGTCAACAGAGTTCCACACCAGGAACTTCGGAAGCTTGGACATCGGACATCACGGGCTCGAGTACCAGTTCTACTTTGTCCCCCTCGTCCCACCCCCCTAAAAATCTTGAAGAGCTCTTTCCCGGTTTCGAGCATGTCGAAATCGGACTCTATGGTTTGTAGAGGATAAACTAATTAAAACCCCATTGACAAAGTCGGACTAGCAGACTAGAGAGAGGAAACCCTAAGTTTAGCGAGAAGAGGAGCGCCTTGAGAGTCGACTTTGGTGCTTGATCCAGAGTAGGAGTAGGACTAGGAGAGCAATAAGGACGATGCTGAGAGCAAGCCGTGCCTTGGTTTCACTGGATTTGCATGTTCCATGAGCGAGAAAGCGTCAAGAGTACTCTTTTAGTCACTGCAAGCTCTCCACATGGACTTTCCACGATTCCATTTCACGGCTGGAGAGAGCACATCCCCACGATCATTCTGAGTCCAAGAACAGGCGATTTGGAGCCAGGAATCAGGAGATCAAGGCGACCCTATCTCTGGTGGCGGCTAGGGTTATGGACGACCTAGGGATTGCGGTGGCGGCTGAACCACGTACCTTTTCGCCGATAGCAACGGTGGGAAGATAGATCCTCCGAAGGAGCACACGCCAGCAAAACTTCGTGGCAATCCAACGGTTCACGAGCAAGATCCAAACGTTCAAATTTCGGAACATGGTTCAAGTTGGGGGCTTTGGAGTCCACGGTTGCTGGAACTTCTTCCAAGGACACTAGCTGCACAGAACCTCATCGGCAGCGTCCTTCCTTCCTCATTCACTTGGGGTTTGGATTATTGGGGTCTGGAGAGCCAAGCTCCACGTAAGGAGGGGACAACTCGCTTGGCGCTGTTACGGCTGCTCGTTTGAATATGCAAAGGACACTATTCTCCGACACGCACCGGGTCCTTCAAACTACGTGGCAGCACTTCCCTACCCTCCGATTGTACACCTAGTCCCAATCGGCAAAGGAACAACTTTCGACGGCACACTGAAGTCCCAATTTGTACGGTACAGCTGTGTTGACTGATTCCTTTCTTGCCTTGGTTGTGGATCCACCATGATCAAGGCACTCGGAGCAACGCCATTTGATGTATGGGATGTTTCGAGGGGCACGGCTCGTGTTAGAAGCTGCATCAGGCTAGCTTGTTGGAGTACGGAAACGTAGCTTCAACTCGGATCCGAAAGGAGCAGCTCGCCTTTGGTTGTGATTCCAGATGGATAGCACCAAGGGTACGGCTACACTGGTATGAGGCCGTGGGACTAGCGTGGCGGCACTACACTTGCACGGCCTGATGGGAGGCTGGAAACAGCAATCCCAGTTGGAGGGGATCAGTCACACAGCAGCAAGGAGAGGACTCCCAGGCAGCAGCAGCATCACCATTACCGGAGACGGCACACTCCTCAGTTCACTGCACTGTGGGATCCAGGACAGTACATCTCCAGGGGCTTCTTATATCTCTGGAAAACTGTAGGCGTCATACAGATGGAGATCAAGCAAGGGTGGTGTACCTTCACTGATCTCACGATCGACTCAAGTCCTTCACATCTGTAGATGCAACCACATGGGAGAGATGAGGCTGGGGACCATGGATAAGGCGCGAAGTTCACCACCAGTACGGATAGGGAGCACGCGTTTGCAGAGTGAGTGGCATGGCTTTGGGCAGCACAGAACCGGACACTAGTTCCCTGATCTGATCTGCACAAAACCGAACCGCACTCTAGTTCCAGGGATCCTCCCTTCATCTCAACCCCCCTATATGCTCTTTGCCAGTTTCGAGCATGTCGAAACTGGACCTCTATGGTTTTCAAGAGGATAAATATGAAAAGCCCCATTGACAAATTCGGACTAGCAAAAAGTCGGACTAGAGAAAAGTCGGACTAGAAGAGGGATGGAAACCCTAGGCGCAAGGCACTCCTCAAAGTTCCGGCGATCCCATCCCCTCCACTTCCCACGGCTTCCTGGTTCGCGCCCCAGCTGCTCGCCATGGATCTGCTACTAGGCGCCTTGGTTCACAGCCGAACTCTAGAGTGTGCGGAACCCACTTGTCGATCTCGGTACTGGCTGTGCAAAGGTCCCGGTTCTCCACGGCTCCCCTCCGGTCAGGCGCTTCCCTTGCAACAATCCCGATCACTTCCCCATCGTTCTAATCCCCCCACTGTGCTGCTGACCGACCCCGCCAAGAATCCCCTGGTTCAAGCTCGCTCCACCCAACAGAAGGTCCACGCAGATCCATTTGGGTAGTGAAGAGATCGCTCCAGGATCACCAGCCCCAATAGGATTGCTGGCTTCACGGTCCACAATCTTCTTTGGCCCCCCTGGTTGATCAAAAAGAGGACTCAACAGCAGACCGATCAGTGGCAGAAGTCCTGCCCCCACTCTTTCCCCAAGAAAAGAAGCAAAAGCAGGAAGGGGGCCATGCCTGACTGGAGGAAGGGACGCCTGAAGCACTGGAAAGGGACAGAAGCACCCGAGAAGCAAAACAAGTGCCAATCGCTCCAAGTTCTGGTCCTTAGAACACGAGGACACTAGAAGGGCATTTCACGGGTGTGGCAGCAAAGGACGACCACGGACAATCTGATGGACTTGGATCAATATTGGGACAGCTCTCAATGACCCACAAAGATCATTCTCTCCAGCACTCATGAATCGGCAAAACGTGGTCCTCCCCAGGACCTCAGAACTGCAGAAGACGTCAAGGCAAGGGGCACACAGGTATGGACTTCGATTAGTTGTTCCACCTCCAGATCGTTTTTCACCCGGCCGGGAGCATCCCTCCCCAAGAATCCATGATCTGCCCGATCGAAAATTTCTTCCCACTCAGACGAAGCCCATGCAAGAAATGGCTAAGTCCCAAGCACGGTCAGGATCGTCCGAAAACAGATCCAACGGCCCGGAGCAGACAACGACAAACACCAAAAAACCACGCACAAGGATAACTGTACACGTACCGAGCCGATCAGCATTGCAACCATTGGATCACGAGAAGCAAACCCCAACCAAAGGATCGGCGGCCCTCCCCACGCACAAGTCCCAGCCATGGCGAAGATCAACTGAGACAAGATCGCACGGTCCAGAACAGAAGGGAAAGACGACGAAGGAAAAGAAAAATGACATCACCATCCCCCACGTGTCACCAGGGAACATCCCCTCCCCCACATCGCCATCACCCCGACAATCATCAAGAGGGCAGTCCTCGAACCAACACAACGTACGGCGGGAGAATCGCCAAGATCGCATTACATCACCAAAATCCAAGGTGAACTTAAGATGGAGCACATCCAATCGCACGCGTCCACGTACCCCCCCGCCAAGAGCAGTACCAACAACCCTAAACTTGCCCTTCCCCGGAAAAGTTGAATCGAGCTCGAGAGCGACTGGAGAGCGGAAGAAAGCAAGCAGAGCAAAGAGAAAAGGAGAGGAGCATCACGCCAACGACCAAGAGGTCAGTTCTCCTTCCAATCCCCTCGCTCCCCGATTTGTCTCCGCTCCACCCTTGCGATCACATGGCAATTTCTCTCCCCTTTCTTCCCCAAGGCTAGACCCCCCACACGCCTCCCCCCATACGCCCCCCTCTTCGACCCAAAAAACTGCCAGCAGTACCTCAGCAGAATCACCACATCGCCCTCGTGGAGTAGCGTTGATCCGTGAACTCTTTACTGAACACAGGACCGGAACAAAGAAGGAAATGCCGCGTACAAAGAACATGCGAAAGTGCGGTCCACCACTGGAAGATGAACTGGAAGAACCCCCTCGCACGGACACGACTCAGAACACCCCTGATGATGAGGAGAGACCTACGGCAGAGCCTCGACCAGAAATGAGAAGCACGGGGACGAAACTCTCGATCAAGCTCAAGCAGCGCCCACCGCCGCCCCCGAAGGACAACGAAGCTGTGGAACCAGAACCAGAACCGACTCGAGCTGCTCCCTCCTCGTCCGCCGATACAGTCAAGATCACAAAGAAGAAGAACCAGACTGCAACGGGGAGCAAAAAATCAAAGGGAGCTTCAGACGCCTCATCTTCCAAGCAAACAATCACCCCCCCGCTGAACACAACACCGCCGGCCAGGACGCCCACATTTGAAAGGATCCCATCGATATCAGCTTTGGAGGGAATTGGCAAGTATGCGGACGAAACGCTGGAGAACACGCCACAACAGCCCTCGCCTGACTCACACTCTGCCTCGCCGGGTTTGAGCGTGCTGTTCATGGACACACAGCAGAGGGAACGAGTCATCCAAGCGGCGACGGAGGAGAGACAGGGGAAAGAGGGGGACTCGGAGGGGGATCAGATCGAAGAGACCACCCCAGCACTCACAAATGTTCCAGAAACACCAGCTCCGAGAGCTTTGACTGGGACCACCAAGGAGAAAGCAATTCCAGCCGTCCCGCTCAAGAAGAGGAAGGAGTCAGACGTACTCTATCTCGGATGGACAAGGGTGGAAGAGCTGGACATGGACGTGACAAAGACTGTTTCACCCCATTCAGCTGCTGCACCGGCAATGTCGGACGTCACGGCACCAGTCCCAGGAGAACTACAAGTGGAGGCGAACGAGGTCCTCATGGAACTGCAGGAATGTCAAGCCAAGGCAGCCAAGAACTTGATCCTGGCAATCTTTGAAGGGAACAAACCAGACCGGCAAGCAGCAATGGAAAGGCTCGAGGAAGGCTTCAAAGAGGCAGGAGTATCGTTCCGGGGGAGACCAGTCACGTTCCTCGGCCGGAACTGCTACAGCGTGGAGGTGAGCACGGAGAAAAACAGGTGAGCCTTGGTCCTAAAGCAGAGGGTGACGAGACCAACACACGAGTTGTTCTTCTACAAGTTTCCGCCAGGATTCTCTCCGAGGCAGAAGGACTTGGTTCACCGCCCAACAATGGAGCTGGATCTACTCGTCGAGGACCTGTGCGAGACAGACAACACCCCGGTGTTTCTGGCAATGATGGTGGAGGGCTTCGCTCAGTACCTAGGGAAACGGGCGACAAGGGAGGAGTTAGGGGACCAACTCATCCACGTCTTGTACACTGGAAAGGCGCCAATCCCGAACAAGATCCGGATCATGGGGAAAGTGCACCCGATCCATATCCAGGAATCTAGGACGACACCCCCAGCGGCAGCGACGCCCTCTAAGCCGATGCAGGACCGGGGAAAAAGAAGGAGAAGCCCTTCGACTCAAGGAGGAACATCTAGGAGACAGTCCGACAGAATGTCAATGTGCAGGGAAGAAACACCGACGGATGGACAAGCTTCGCCTGAGAGGCCAAGAGACCAGAGGGGTGGGCAGCACACAGTCCAATGCTCCCCGTCCCCGGAACGAGCACGAGTGGAGAGATCCCCATCAGAGGACCTGATGCCGCGAGGGAGAGCGTCCTCCTCCCGATGCTTCAGGCGACTCAAAGTCAACCTGTGGCTCCATGTAAGCAACACACGTCCCCGGAAGTACCTCGCACTATGGAGCGGCCCTCCGGTTGGATATGTCACCCCCACATTCCACATGCCGCGCGATCAACTCCCAGAGAATGGAGTACACAGCTTTCTGGAAGCGTCCGAGGTAATCAAGGATCTTAGGTACCATGTGGAAGTAGACAAGGCCACAATCATGGGCACCAACATGGAACTGCATGCAGCCCTTCTCACCAAAAGCGGCGTCATCCCCGCGAGAGGAGGGAGAGATCGTGAATTCTCGTGGGTGGAACGCGATCGGATCACTACAAACAAGGACAATGACTGATCTCAGCGTGCTTTCATGGAATGTAGGAGGCATTAGTAAGGACGGAGTGCTATGGAATGACAAGAAGGCGAGGCTACGACAATACCTTCGCCAGTTAGAAGGAGTGATAGGAAAATGTGACTTCTTCTGTTTCCAGGAGCATAGAATGCAAGAACACCAGACAATCTTTAAGTTTTCCCAAGGCGAACACTTCTGGAACCCTGCAGTTGGAAGGCGAGGAGGAACCCTCATCATCGCCAAAGGACCATGGCAATCCCTTGGCACCTCGCACCAGATCCTAATCCCTGGACGTGCTCATATGATAGTGATAAAAGTAAATGCCCGAACCATAGGCCTGTTGAACATCTACGCCCCAGCTTCCCGCTCCACCTCACGAGCACACTTCTTCCGAATTCTGCAGCGTCGTCTTCCCACCGGAATCGATGACTGGATCCTGGCTGGTGACTTCAACTTCGTGGATCATGAGGAGGACAAACAGGGAGGCATAATCCAGGATAGACGTACACGTGCGGAACGCCTTGCATGGAACTCATTCCTCTTACAAATTGGCACCTGCGACGCTTACGAGATCCCGGGTTTTGTGACACATGAACCACGCTTCACATGGCGAGAACGTCAACGCAGAGGCATACAGCGTCGTCTGGACCGCTTCTACCTCACCATGGACCTGTGCATGCAAGGGGGGAAGCTAGACATCGACAACACCTACACGGACTTCTCAGACCACCATCCAATTAGACTCACACTTCCCTTTCGAAGATCAAGAGGTCCAAGGAAGCCAGTTGCCATACCCAAGAAGTTCTTTGAGGAGCAAGCCAACAATAACCGGGCGCACGAGCAATGGGAGAAACACAAGGGGAACCTACTCTCCTTCACCCTTCAAATCGCTCAAGAGGCTCGGGCCAAGATCCGGAAAGATAGGAGAGGTGTCTTTAACACAGTCCAAAAGGTTCGGAGTGTCCTGGCCTCGATCAACACTGACCTTCGCAGCAACCCGAATGACCCGTGGCTACAAGCTCAAAAAATCCAGGTTAAGCGCCAACTGGAAAGGATAGAGGCCGACAAGATGGAAGCCTTCCTAAAAGCAGGACACATTAGATGGCACGCAAGTGAACTCGCGCTGAACAGGGAGTTCTATCGATCCATAAGATCCAAAGTGGTCTCCCCACCAATGTTCGGATTGAAGGACGAACAAGGGCAAATGCACACAGAGATCGACGACATGCACAACATGGCAGAACACTACTACTCCCAGCTTTTCAAGGAGGAACCATGGGATGAGGTCAGGCAAGAGAAACTTGAAAGAGTGCTGGAGCATATCCCAACCAAGTACACCCCAGCAATGAACACCAGAGTAATGAGACCCTTCACGCTGCGAGAATTAAAGGACGCCCTGGATGACCTCAAGGACGACAAGATGCCAGGGGAGGACGGCATGCCACCAGCCTTCTACAAACAAAATTGGGAGTGGATCGGACCCGAAGTTCTCAAGATGTGGCAAGAAACCATGCGAGCTGGGAAGTGGCCGGAAGGAGCTACGGATGGGATCATTGCGTTGATACCAAAAAAAGGAGATATGTCCCACCTCAAGAACTGGAAGCCCATCTCTATGCTGAACACCATGTACAAGATCGTAGCAAAAGCCTTGGCATCACGCCTCAAGCCCCTGCTCCCAGAAACAATCAATGAGACGCAGAACGGTTTCGTAGATGGCAGGCAAATCGTGGACAATCTCCTAACAGTGCTGCTGGCGCAAGAACACACCAAAGACATGGCAGAGCAGATTGCAATCATTCTCCTGGACTTTGAAAAATCTTACGACCGGGTGGATTGGAAAGTTCTCCAGGCCATAATGATCAAGCAAGGAGTTCCTCTGCAGTTCGTGGAATGGACAGCATCCCTGTACCACTCGGCATTGAGCAGGGTTACAATCAATGGAACCATGGGACAGTCCTTCAAACTTGAAAGATCAGTCCGCCAAGGATGCCCCCTCGCACCATACCTGTTCCTGTTTGTTGCGGATGCTCTGGCCTACTACCTCGCCCGACCACAGGGTCCAAAAGGTATGCCCCTTCCAGGCTGCGGCACAGCGCTTCAGGACATGAACGAAGCCTCAAAGGAGGACCTCCTATCCTCAGCCTTTGCAGATGACACAAGCCTGATTGTGGAGGGATCACCAGAGAACCTCTCAAACGTCAAAAGGGACCTGGACTTTTTCAATGAGGCCATGGGATCGAAAATAAACTGGCACAAATCGGTAGGACTATGGCTCCCCCCCGGCAGACCTCCAACATGGGGCACTGAGCTGGGTTTCAAATGGCTGGACACGGAGGAGACCACCTGCTACCTTGGATTCCAAGTGGGACGCCAATATGACCCAGAACCCCAGAACCAAAAAGCTGTAACAAAACTAAGGGATCAACTCAAGTTCTGGGCGAGCAGAAAACTATCATTCTCAGCACGCTGTGTGGTGGCTAACAGCATCCTGCTTGGGGCGATCTGGTTCCTGGCAGCATGCTGGAACATAGACAGGCGAACGATCCAGGAAATGAACCAACTCATTCGAACCTATGTCTGGAAAGGCTCCTCCTGTGTGTCGCGTGGTGGAGCAAAGGTCAACTGGCGGTCAGTAACACTTCCGAAGCACGAAGGGGGCCTCAATATCATTGATATCGAAGAACAATGCAAGGCTCTTCTTTTCAAGATTTTCACAAGGATGCTCATGCCTGGCCACCAACCATGGAGAATACTGCTGCGAGCACAATTTTTGAAAGTCCTCCCGGACAGGAACGAGCACACCAGACAAAACTGGGCGTCAGACGAACAATGGCTCTTCTCAGACACCAAACTCAAAATGACAAAGGCTCACACATTCTCAGGGAAGCTGTTCAAGCTCTGGAGGCAATTTAAGTGCAAGTTGGAATGTAAACCACCTCGTACCAAAGAACAACTGGACCGGCAGCCAATTTTCCTGAGCAAACTCTTCGCTGTCAAGGGTAAAATGCTCGGAGCTTCAGAGGATCGCGGCCTGGACCAGACATGCAGAGACCTGCACGGTGCAGGGATGAGAACCTTCGCAGAGGCAGACACCATGATCCAGCCCAACCAGACGGCCCACAACCGCGACCAAATCAGTGCTTTCTACGGATTAACCATCTCAGAACACAGGATGCGTAATTTCTAGACAGCCTTCTTAGCAGCCAAACACGCATGCCTTGAACGACTAAACCTGCAAGAAGATCAGCACCATCGTTGGTGGAAGGTTGATGAATCGATCGTATGCACCCTCCCCAACATGGCATCGGGACTAATCTTTGAGGCAGGACAGGCCGGACGCTTGTACCCCATCGTTACCCCAGAGTACAAGGACCTCCCCGACATGAGCAGAGCTAAACCGATCAAAGTGATTCAAATGGAGAAAAAAACTGCCAACGTTGATCCATTGATCCCAGAAAACCAATATGCTCGCCTCTACTGGTTCTGCCAACAAACCTTGGATGAACTCAAGTGGGATCCTGTAGAGTGGCATTGGAGGGGAACCATGTGCAAGGACTTCTTCCAGTACGAGACCAAGCTAGGCCGCAAACTGATCAGGGTGCCGACTCAATCCTCCCTCATCCGGAAAGCAAAGGCCCAACAGATCCATTCCAGGAACCACTCACACTGCATCAACAAGATCTGGAAGGGGCGCTGGTCAGCTAAGAACCGCTACTTCATGTGGCTGGCCCAACAAGAACGTCTTCCCTCTCTGGTTGCCATACATCTTCCAAACACAGCCTGCAAACCTGTGGCGCCACAGAAACACAGCGACACATCTTATGGGAATGTCCGGCACCACAGGAAGTATGGGAAGGTGCAGCAGCGGTACTCAAACAAACGTCAACCGGAGGAGCTGCAATCACATACGAATCAGCGCTCTGGGGTAGCTTCATCCAGGGAAAAACAAAGAATCCTGATGCATGGAAGTGGAGACACAACGAGGCCCCACACTTTGATCAACTCAACCAAACTCGGACACACATTACGCATCTCCACCA